TTTGGACTCCCAGACTCATGAAAAATATCAAATACGTTTGAAATGAAATGTTCATGTTATTGACACACACCTGAAGCTCCCTGGAGGCCCCCCCCCAGCAGTCACCCACTTTGTTTTTCTGTAAACCCAACCTGTTGTATGTAAGGCCTCACACAAATGTTACATATAAACGCATCCATAAAGCTGTTCCTTTAGGTTGTCTGAGGTGATTCGTATATGAAGCCTCAGGTGGGGTTTGTATGGTAATTAATTCTTGTGGTACATGTGTGTTTGTGTGCGTTGTGTGATCTCCAGGACACACTGCTGGAGCTGCTGTGTGATGCGGTGGCATCGACAGTACGGCTGGGGAAAGGTCTCGTGATTGGTGGCTTCCCCAGAGACCTGAGACAGGCAGAGGAGTACGAGGCCAAGGTCAGAGCACCGGACTGATAGACATGTGGTCAGGACCACGAATAAAAGAAGAAAACATCACCCACCAGTAGACAACACAGTTTAGAGCAGAAAGACAAACATTTCACATACAGTACTGACATCAGTGTGAAAAATGTTCATTAAATATTTAATGCAGGAGTAAAAACAATGATGTGCTTGACACAAGAGCAACAAATAGAAGAAATGTGTCACTTTTGACTGGTGCATTGTTGTTTACTGATGGTGAACAGTACAGTGACAGTAGAAAGTAAAAGGGGAGGCTGTACCCTGAGATTCACTGCCTGGACTTTCCTTTTCCTGTGCCTTGTTTAATCAGATGGGGGAGCCCAGCGCAGTGCTCCTGCTGAACTGCTCAGCCGACACCATGTCCAGTCGTCTGCAGTGCCGGGGCAGATCCACCTCCAGCTTCCATCCGGCCTCAGACAGAGACGGCGTCCTGCACAGGAGGGCTGAGAGCTTCTGCAGCGACAGCCGGGCGGTGGCATCTCATTATGAACGCAAGAGGCTTCTGCACACAGTAAAGTCGTTTATTGCTCGAAAGAAATTGTATTTAGGGGTGTGTGTGTTATTTCCCGTACAGCTAACTCTGCCTAGATTATGGGTTCAGTTCCATTTAGTTAGCTCATTTAGATCCACTTCATCTCAGCTAAAATTCATTTACATTTAAAGGCCCCTCAAACACACATTACAGCCTTCTTTTAAACAATATTACTACAACAATTTTAAACCATTTTCACCCCATTTTCATATTAAACATTCTGGCAGAACTTTGTCTGTGCATGATCAGATAATACAACTGCTAAAAAACAGTTAGATCAGGTTTCATGAGCTGTTTGGAGAAACAATGCATGCACATTACGTTTTTAATATTGCATCAAGCATACAAAATGCCCAGATCTGCATGAATATAAAACAGATCCAGAATGCTGCATATAGTTTATTTCCAAATGATGTGTATACAGATCGTTAGACATTCATCAATAACCGATAGCATATGGGTGACAAATTGAAATTAAAAAACCACCACCACCATGTGTCTTGGGAAGGAGTTGAGCCACAACAAGCATCCGGTGTTGAGTCAGGACAGAACGGACCCAAACGCAATGCTCAGGATTATACAGGTTTTATTAGAAAAAAGGGAGAAGGGGCTAAGGGAGTGGAGATAAAGGAGAGGTGGACGCCGGGGAACACGGGCACAGAGGACCAAGGAGCAGGTGGGGCAGGAGGAGGCTGTGGCGAGGAAGATGAAGGGAACAGATGACCGAGGAGGAGAGGAGGCCCGGGGGAACTGACTGAAGGGATGGGAGAAGGAGTGTGGGGGCAGGCAGACTGGCGAGGAGTGAGGGGGGAGCCGAGAGGACGCCGTAGAAGACACCCGAGGGGAGAGGGCAGGTAGGCGAGCCCAGCTGACACGACAGTGGTGAGTGAACCTGGGGAAAGGCAGACAGAAGGGGTTAATCACTGGGAAACAGAGATGTTGCAGGAATCACAGAGGCTTGAATAAGGCAGGGGCACCAAGTTAGGAGCAACGACGATCAAGCAGAGATTGTTTGGAGAACTGGGGCTGATATACTGGTGGAGATGGAGTTGATTGCTGGCACGTGTGGCAGGGAGAGGAGGCTGCTGATAAGGTGCAGGTGTGGATCATCAGCTGGGTTCAGGAGCGGAGAGAGAGAGGGAGAACACAAGCAGGCGCAGCAGAGGAGACACAGAGAGGCAGGCAAAACACAGGGGAAAACAGAATGCAGGAAAAAAGGAGAAACAAACAGGACACTCACCGTCAGCCAGGCTGCCACCACAACATCCGGACAGTCTCAAGAGCTCCTTGATCAGATTTCTTGAAGTGCACTGGAGGTGACAAACACAATTCTTCCAAAAGATCTCTCATTTGGTGTTTTGATTATGAATGATGGTGGGGGGATGGAGAGCGATATTAGGCAGGTCAATACAACATCTCCCACAGGTGGTCACCTCAGGTCACAGTGAAGGTGTATGATTCATTTTCACACACCAGTGATTCCTCGTACCCTGAACAGAAGCATTTGTTATTGATTTATTAGCAATTGAGTAGCTATTCAATATTCATATCGTATTGTTATGCTGTAAATATCATATCCACCTCATGGACATAACAATACCTGCGCAAAAATACTTTTTACTATTTATTCCAGAATCCTTTGCACTATGTTTCACCACACTATTGTCTAGCAACAAAATGTTGTTTTGTTTATGGTTGTGTGTACTGTACACTGTTTGTGTCAGTTTAGCTTGCTGTCCCGTTTGTTTATGCTTGTTCTGTGTACGCACACTTATGGCAATATAAGACCCGAGTCAAAATCCTTGTATGTCTATACACATACCTGGCCGTTAAAAGTGATTCAGATTTATTCAGGTTTTTTCCTTTGATTTGTTACCCATCTGTAGATAAAAGTCAAAACGTGTGCGACAAGCTTCTGAGACAAAGTGAACATGAACTTTTTAGTTGCCTTTACCATTAGTTGTGTAGAGAAGGCTGGGGTGTGTTTGGAGCTTCCACTCATTTCCACTGCACTGACATGGGGTCAGTAGATTCACAGGAGTGAACTGTCACTTTTTTAAAATGAGCTGTTTGAACGTTTAAATGCCACATCGGGGTGTGTGTGTGTGTGTGTGTGTGTGTGTGTGTGTGTGTGTGTGTGTGTGTGTGTGAGTGTGCGCTTAAATGCCACAACAGGTATTGAGGTCATCAGTCTGCTGGGAGGTTGCACTGCAGTCTTTGACTGCACATTAAGACACTAATGGTTTTTGAAAGGCCTCGTCTCAGCCACTTTGTCTCTGTCTACAGATTGACGCTGAGAGGTCGCCAGATGAAGTGTTTGCACGGATCTGCCAGGTGATGGAGACCTTCTGATTTCTACATTTTCCTCAACACCGCCCTGCCCCACCGCAAACTCTGCTGTATCACTCCAAGGAGACTCACCCACACCCACCTGCACCAGACATACGCTCATTGACCCGTGGTATGCATGTCCCCAAACACTCCTAGCAGTCAGTGAAACCTCTTTCTGCTTTTGACACTGACGAAGCGCCTGGTTGTCACATTCTGCTTCACCTACTTGCATTGTCTCTCTCTCACATTGACCTCTATATGCTGCCAACTGCCGGACCAAGGCATATAACTGTACTGAAAAAAAAAAAATACACACTCCCTGCTGTGACTGAGAGCATGTTTCTAGTTGAATGTGAAATCTCTCTGCCATTCCTCCCCAGGAGGAGCTGGGAGAGGGTTCCCACCATGTTAGAAAGTGGAAATGTCAGTGCGCGCTCATGTTCTCATGCACAGCATCATGTTTTATATTGTAACAAGCATGCAAGAATTAGAATCAAGCTTAACTGCCTTTTGTGCGTTAAATTTAAAAAAAAAAAAGCAGAAAAGAATTAAGAGTATTAAAGAATATTGCATTTGTATGTTTCCAAGCTCATTGTGCAGGTGCTTGTTTTGGTATTTAACATTCAATAAAGCCAGTGCATTTGCTAAATGGAGGATTTACGAGTGTGTGCTTTGGTGTTTTGTGTGTGTGAGGACAGTATGGTCACAGCTGATCTCATAGCCCCATCTGCTGGTGAGATGATCACAACAAAATGGTGCTTAAATTTGAAAGTTGACCAGGGCATAAGAGGTTTAGCCTCCTGTTTTAAAATGCACAAGATGATTTGTGTATCCACCTTTAAGCTGATATAATATGTAGGTCCAAACATCAGCAAAATGACCTTTACCACGGCACTCAGTGAGTCAGGGAGTGTTTGAAGTGACCACCAAAGGTCACACGTTGGGAGCATACATGGAAAAGGGGGGTAATGATTTTTTTTTTTTTTTTTTTACATTTTCTTGACATCTGAGGGATTCTAAACTGCTTTCTATAAAAAATAATTTTACACCATATTTGAAGACAACACACTTATGACATAGCATTTCATTCATTTCACTGTGGCATGACATTAACCTTATGTAAAAATACATTTTTAGAGTATTGTGATGTTGTCTTTTGTGACTAAAGTTGATTAAGTAACATTTGGTGCTTCCAGCTTCTCAAACATGAGGATCTCTGCTTTTCTGTTTCTTTTCTATCTTCATGTTAAATGAGTATCTTTGGATTTGGGACCATTAGACAAAACAAATTGAAGCATCACATGGGGCTCCCTGACGTTGCATTTGTAACTTTAACTGGCATTTTGTATTGAATTATTAGTTAAATGAAATAGCAATCAATGATTCAATATTTTAAAAAATCATAACTTGCTATTAAAAAGCTGATTATTTGATTAATCATTTGGCAAAATGTCAGCAAATACAAAAAAAATGACCATCAGTTCCCCAGATGTCTTCAAATGTCTTGTTTTGTTCCAAGATATTCACTTTCCAATGATGTAAATCAGCAACAAACCCTCACATTGAAGAAGGTAAATCCAGAGATTCAACTACTTTCGCTGAACTCATGAATAATAAAGTAAATTTTGCAGCTCTAAACTGCTGAACCAAATATTGAATGTGTGACCTTCAAGAATAACAAATAAAACAGGAACAGGTGTAGAAACACTATTTTCACATACTTTTATTTCCACGATTCTCCTCTAGCTTTTTTTTTTTTACATTATTATTATTATTTTTTTACATAAGAACAGACTGTTATACACAGATATTGAAGCAGGGGAAAGGGGGTGAGGGAAGGAGACGAAAACCATACAAAATGGTGTCTACTCAAACACAACAAAATCTATGTGTATAAAATTGTGTGGGTTGTTCCACTGTGGAGGCACCAACCTCTACCTCAATTCTTTTTTTTTTTTTTTTTTTAAATAGATTAATAAAAATACAATCTTTTAAATGGACCTTTTAAAGTGGACTGCAAAATTAAAGGAGATCTAGAGGCATGATGACTGGATCAATAATGTGGGACCACGTGGGTCGATGGTGGTGAAGAGAGAAGTTGGCCAGGTTCAGAGGTGGAATTCCTCCAGAAAACCGAGAAAAAAAAAAACAGAAAAAAAACCTCTTAAAAATGGCACACAGCAACTATTGCTGGCTACTTTTCACCATATACTTGTACACTCAACATGATCAACAACAGCACACATCGGGGGAGGAGGGGGGAAAAAATAATGAAAAACCAAAACACAGTCTGTGCTTTCCCATACGTTCCCACTCAACTGCAAGGTCTGCCGTTCAAAAACATTTGCTCTCCGTGCTGTAGTGCTTCCTTGTTAGACATGTTTTAGTGGAGAGAGCAAAGGGAAAGAAAATACAGATAAAAGTGTGTGTCTGCGTGCGTGTTGGGGGGGGGGGGGGGGGGAGCAGCGTTGTGTGACAGTGGTAGGGATGTCTCCATGCTGAAACATGGAGCACAATCCAGTTAACACATACAGGTGTGTCTGCAGAACGCCATGTGGATCAGCAGAACTTCCTACTGTCTGCAGCCAAAAATACACCGACCTCGGCATCAAGTTCCACACTGCCTAACTCCTCTCGCAGCAGCCGCAACTCCCGCCGAGGAAGCCGTGACTCATAAATAACTCAATCTACGGATACCTAGCTAGAACATTTATTCACTCTTGCATAACACAGAGACCACACACACACACACACACACACACACACACACACAAACCACCTTTGTGTATCTCAGTTGATGACTTCACAGTCCACTATGACCACACATCTCCATTAGGTGGCACTTCACCATACTGATCGTCACCTCTCCAGTTTCGAAGCAGCACGGGGAGGTAACTGGAGGGCGGTGAAGGAAAGAGGGAAAAGGGACAGCCCTCCTGGAGTCACAGAGCTCGGGAATGTCGGTGTGCCTTCTGGTTTTCTTTTGTTTGTTTTTTAAAAATAGTGTATCATTTCAAATCACAGATCCATTGATTAACCTGGCTGAGGTGGAGCGGGAGGGCCCCCTTGTTCTGAGGAACCAACATGGCCACCCTTTGCTTGAGTCAGGGGGGACAGTTTACCAACAGCCCCCCCACCAGCAGCACCGTGGTCTGCTCTGAGGCCCCTGGCTGTCTGCCTGCCTGGCGGCGGGTTAAGCGGTTATCTTGGACTTGGACGATGGAGCCATGCACAGAGTGGCCTGTGGGATATGTGGAGAGAGCCTGGAGCTAGAGGCACCTGGGACCCTGTCATCTGTTGGCTGGAAAGTAGTTAGGGTCCAGGTAGTTGTAGCCTGTGCTCTGCGGCAGGCAGTAGTCCCTGTCCAGACAAGAGTCTGTCGTGTGCACCGGTTCCAAGTGGTGGTTAGGCTTGTGGGTCTCTGTCTTGAACAAGCTGGAAGACGGGCAGGAAAAAAAGGGAAGCGTCAGTTCAAGACCTGCTGTCTTGGCAGTCTCATGATCATGTGGTAAAGGAAGAATTAAGTCATAAATGTCAGAGACAAGAGCAGCTAAACAACTTTACTTCAACTGACAATCAGTAAAGCATTCTCAGTATGTTACAGCAATTAAAATAAGTAAGCATTGGTACCAGCTAAAATTAACCCCATTAATTACAGATCCTTTCTTTACTGTGATCTACTGGGGTTTGTCCACCTCAGCTTGTTTGTGTGCCCACTGCCCGGGCTCTACAATGCAAGCTGCATATACAAGTGAAAGAGACTGTGTGAATGAGAAAAATACTAAGGTTTGCAAAATACAAAAATTTGCTTAACTCCGACTCTAACAAATCTTTTACATCACCTCTCTTTCATATTAGCAAATAGCAGTGTACAAAACATTCAGGTAGCAGCTTCTAATTTTTAGCCCGCGTTAACCATCGCTTGTCAAAGATCATTTGTGAGGGAAGAACCCCCACTCTGTAACTCCACTGTACAATCAAGAGTGGACTGAACATTTCCGTAGTTCTAACTAGGGATCGACCGCTATGTTTTTTTCCGGGCCGATCCCGATTATTAGTAACCAATTAGACCGATGACCGGTATGTGGAACCAATATACATTTGCTGTAAAATTTTGAATAACACAAACTCCAACACAAAACTTTGTTGAAAGTAACAAGAATAAAGTTAATTGTCATGTTTAATCTTTAAAATAGTAAATTAAATGAATTAGAGATCCCTTCCAGAGATGGGTTTGTTAGCTATGATTGATAAATTATCATAAACTTTATCTTTACCGGCTGCCATTTATATTGTATTTATTTTATATTGTTTTTATTGAATTTACTGATACATTTATTGATACTATTTTTGGTTCTGTTCTTTATCTATACTCTTATTGGTATGTCATTACTAAATAATTGCCTTTTAAAAATATATTATTTAAAAAATAAATTCAGGACAGTAATCAAATTTAATACTTTATTATAACTAACCGTTTTCAGAGCAACAACAAAAGTAAAGTTTAGAGCAGCAAAGTAACCATATAAAATAAGTGTCTCACTGGAAACAAATAGAACATGTTAAATAAACTATTCATCAAAATACTGAGTAAGGGCTTGTGTCCACCAAAGTGTTCTAACTAGCTGAAAACGCCACCTGCTCTTCTGAAAATGCCTAGCTGGGAGCGCTATGGTGCGTTTTGGAGGCGCATTGTTTTTTTATCCAGCTGAGACGCTTTGGTTGCTATGATACCTAATATGTATGTGGAGGTGATGTGCTGCAAGTAGGCTACTTAATTTTACTAAATGTAAAAATGTCACCACAAAGTTGGGTAGGCCTACTTGCTCTGGCCCTTGCTCTGCATGAAGAGAAGGCTGAAACATTTAGAGCGAGGGGACGGACTCGCTGTACGTGGGTTCATGAGATTTTGTGGTTCAAGAGCAGAGACGGCTCGTGTGGTGTTTGTCCCCGCCCCTCCTGCACTGTTGGGACGGCTGGGTAAAAAGTGACATTGACAAGTGCTGCGACTGCAACTCTCTGTGACTGGGAAAAAAAAAGCTCAACACCCAGCGCTTGTCTCTCAACAAGCATCTGAGTTTACAAGGAGTTGCTAAATTTTAAGATACATAGCATCTCAGCTAAACAGGCTACAGCCAGAGAGATTTGCCTTGTTTATAACTAGCTATATCCAAGCTAGCACGTGCTTGTGTAAAACCTAAACACAGCTTTGGCGGGCGCTAGCGGCCTTCGACGTGCTTCGACTCTTCGGTCTCACCACATACTGGAGCATTACCCCGCTTAACCGTTTCACGGTAAGGTCTCTTTCTAATGTGTTAGCACACCAGCTAATGTGACGTTCTTCTTAATTAGCACTCCAGCTAACAAAGATGGGCTCTAATCCGCTTTACACCAAAGGAGACAGTGATCCAGGGGCTCGGCTCTGCGGGAATAAAATTTTGAGCAGGGACACACACCCAGGTCTGCACTTCCGCCCACTTGGCCGTTGAAGCCCCCGGTTCATGAAGGCACTGCACCTGCTTCACCCCGAAGAGCCTTCGACGACAGCTTGCACGCCAAGCTAGCTGTCCACCAACAACTTGCCGGCTGGCAATAAGGGGACCAATGCGGATTCTGAACCGTGTGCTAGTGCTAGCTGGGGCTCACAGCTGGACCTAGCCGCGGCGGCCCCGCTTGTGGAGGATGTGCTGGAGCTGGATTATGAGGATGATGATGAGGGCACCTTGGAGCTCCTCATATCTGATGATGATGAGGACGAAATGTTCATCCCTTTCGCTCAGGCTGCCAAGCCTGACGCTGTGCCTGCTGCTTGTCATGTGGGGTTTTGATGGTAATACGGCTAGCAAGGGGCACAACGGCTACTCCCTGTTTCCAGGCCACTGGCCCCACTTTGGGATCTAGCAGTGGTTCTGGATGGGCTCTCTGGCACCCCTTTTGAACCTCTGGGGGAAGTTGACTTAAAACATCTGTCTCCGAAGACAGTGTTATTGCTGGCTGTGGCTTCCGCAAAACGGGTCGGCACTCTTGGTGCATTCTTCATGCACTCAGTTTGCTCCGGGGGATGTCAGAGTATCGATGAAGCCTAACCCTGCCTTTTTGCCCAGGGTAGTTGGCTCGTGTTCGCCCATTGACCGTAGGGCGTTCTCTTCGCCGCCTTTCTCGTCCCCTGAGGAGGAGCGGCTGCATGCTGTATCCGGTTCGCGCCCTTAGCATTTACATGGACAGGACTAAGGGGTTTTGGAGAAGTGACCAACTCTATGTGTCCTGGGCAAGCCCGTTACCAAGCAACGGCTCTCCCACTGGATTGTGGGGTCGATTGCTCTGGCCTACACTAGCCGGGGTCTGCAGGCGCTGCCAGGCCTACGGGTTCACTTAACTCGTGGCCTTGCTGCATCCTCGGCCCTGTTTAAGGGGGTCCCTATCCAGGACATTTGTGCGGCGGCGAGCTGGTCCTCGCCCCTCACCTTTGCCCGGTTTTATAAACTGGATGTCTCTGCTCAGAGTGTGGCACGTGCAGTGCTGAGCACAGGGCCCCTCGCTGGAACAGAGTGCTGCTTCCTGAGGGCCGGTGGTTGTTGAGATAAGCTTGTCTGACAATACGGGAGTCTCCATATCCCATAGTGAGACATCAAAACGAATGCTATGAATGAGAACTTTACGTTACTTGCGTAACCCCGGTGTGTGAGTAAGATGTCTCACCAGACAGCCCTTCTTGCTGGGGCGAAGCAAGAAGAGGTGCTTATTTTGAATGGTGTCTGCGTTGTAGCGTAAGCTATTTAAGGGTAGGTGGACCCACCAGACGCAGACACCGTGATCGTAGATCAGGATTGGGGTAATGAGATAAATGCTTCTGAGGAATACGCGGGCATCCCATAGTGACACATCTCACTCTCTTACTCTGAGAATCGGGGTTACGCAAGTAACTCAAAGTTTTTGCTGCACTCACTTACAATAACGGGCGTAGTTATGGTTAACTTGTGTAATCTACAGTGATCTCCACTCACTTCGCTCTGCGTGTGTGTGTATTTGCGAAGCTCTGCTTAGACGGGAGGGGAGGGGCTGCAGCATGGTGGCTAGCTCGTTCTATTGGCTACTTCCGCACAATAGTCAGTGCTGGCTATTTCTCGTGACGTGTAACCAATCAGCTAGTACTGTGGGCGGGACACTGGTCCAGCACAAAGAGTGGTGAATACAGACAGAGAGGCGGCTGCATCAGAGCTAAAGGAGCGCATTTTTTAATTAATTGATTATATCCGCTATCTGTTTTTGAAATGACCGATTCAGATTATTGGAAAAATGCTGAATAACGGCCAGGCAGATTATTTGTCAGGCCCTAGTTCTAACAACTCACAATTCCCATTTAATCAACATTTCATATGCAATACTGTGGTAACTATCCCTTTAATATTGTCTTATGTATTTATCATCATTTCATCTAAACCCTATTACCAGTTGTGTTTGTGGCAAAAGTCTCATGACAAAGGTGGACAATCTCACCAGTCGGAGCAGTTGGAGCAGAAATCAACTGAGTTGTCCTGTGGACAATCCTGACAGTGCCACCGCACTCCCTGGATGGGCTCCATGCCACAGACGTCACACTGCACAAATCCAAACAAACAGATCATCTTCAGAACAATTTTATAACAGCATAAAACTATAAAAACTAAGGCTGTTAACAACTATCTTTGTTTAACTGATTAAAGAAAACAACACTGGTTTCTTTGGACAATAACATCTGAATGTCTTTGAGATGCACAAAGTGTCCCAATTCTTTACTGACTTGTGTCACAACACTTGCATGGATAAGGTAGTATTTTGGATAAGGAAATACTACAGTAACACTATATAGTATAGTACTACTAATGTGAAATACCAATCAAGCTGCAACTGCTGCCAATTTCATGCCTGAAAATAAAATACATCTCTTTTAATTCTTTTTTTTTTATTTCAAAGCTTTAGCCAGAGCCTACATTTCTCTACTACTTCACAGGCTCCTTTGTTTTAATTGTGTAATGCATGGCGGCATAACAGAGTCTATCAACATGACAATAAAACAATCGAGCAATGATGCTCTCCTTTTTAAACACTTTGCACTGTTTTTTTGTGAAGTGTGAACATGCCACTCACACTGTTAGAATTGGTGTCTAGTATGGAACTGGGACACAAATTTTATCCCTGTTGACCAATTTACAGTAAAATCCCTTTGACTCAGGATGTGATTTCATTATTATAGCTGCAAATTTAGAAGCCTGTGTTGTACAAAAGCATGCAGTCTTCACCTTGTAGCCTATATGCCGCACCCCGGCCTTGTCCTCCTGGATGTCCTGGAGCGTCTGTTTTTTCAGTCGCTTTAGCTCTAAAAGCTCTTTGTACTCTGGCAAATTTCTCAACTCCACAGGTATTCCTTCCTCATCCTGGGTGTAAAGGAAGGAAAGACATATACATAGATAAATGTGCAGACACAAACAGGAAGAGATGGAGAGGAGTTGTCCCATCATCAGGACACTCATCTCTACATGACTCCAGGGATCCAATCTGACAACGATATCACTAGATATTTTATACCTTGCAGACAAATTTGCTGCAACTATTGATCAATCTAATTTTAGCTGAACAAGAGCAACATATCCATAAACATCAGTCTAGGTTTTCTTTCTTTTCTGTTTGGGCAGCAATGTTGTAGTAAGCAGAGATCGTCTTTCGGCTGAAAGTACATGACTGCAAACCACTGTCTCCTTCACAAAGACATCTAACTTCTGCTAGGCTCCAGCCGATACCTCCACCTTCTTAGGGAGAGAAAAATAAAAAAAGTGGCAAAGTGCAACATTTTATTTCTGTCAAACTATCAGAATAATAAGCTGCCGACACATATGCCCTCAGCAGGCTTTCATTCCTTTCTGCAAACACGGACAAAGTAAGGGACAACTTAGTGATGTGAGAAATTACGGTGGCCCATGCTGGCAACACCTTTGTGACTTTGCTTCATACTGGCGGTGTCAGAGGTTCTGTTAACGCCAGCAGCCTGTGTTCTCAGCAGGGCACGGCGACCTGGATTTACTTAAAGGTTACTGCCATCAAAGGGAGAGAAAGAAAATGTCAGCGCTTGGGTAACAGTGAATCAGGAGTTGCACAGCGCCCCTGTTCTGATTTAGCCGTTTTCAACAGTACACGCTGCCCTGATTGAAGTGAGAACAAAAAGGGCACAGAGGTGCATGATCAAGGTCCAATACCTTATTTTATCCAACGGTGTTAATGTGGAGTTAAGAGCAAGAGGAACAGTCTGTCATATGAAGGCAGACATAAGTGACAAGGCAGGGAGCATGGGCGTGGCTGCTTACTTTTCCTTATCTGGAATGGATTTAAATTGATTTGCCAGGTATAAAACTCCCCAAGGCAAATAACATGCCGTCTTTCCCTGCCTTTTTCCAACAGGTCACTGCCTACATGAGGAAAAGTAGTTGAGACTGTGGACAGTGAGGGAGAGGAGGAAATGAGAGCGTGTGATTAGCTTAATTAATCAGCAAAATACCAGTCTGGTCGGTGAACAGTGACATGAAAAAAAGGCAGGGGAAATAAGATCAGGTACAAGATAATCTCCCAGGACAAATAAATCGGAGTGGGATGAGTGCAAAAAGAAGCATACTTAACAAAAATAAATAAAATAGAAATGGCAGTGTCGTATCCAGTTATTAGTGTTGACTGACCGAGTCATCAGCAGAGGGGTCTTGCATGCTGCTGTAATACGCCGAGCGCTCATCATCTTCGTCCATGTAAACCGGAGGCTCATAGGAGGTCAGGAAAGTAGACGGCCGGTACAAGTGCTTGTTTAGGTGGTGCTGCCTCTTACTGGATGCCTGAAGAATAAAACAGGTCCCCTTAAACATGTGCTGAGTACTATGTAATTTTATAGAAGTCAAAACAATAGCAACTATTACTGCTTAGTCAAAAAACGATAGCACTCATTCAGAAGCTTAAAAGTAGGGCTTGGCAACATAGGAGAAATTAATATCACAATATTAAAAAGTATATATTCCAATCAATATATCTTGACGTGGCACATGTATGCAAAATTAGATATGAAATAATGACACTGATGTTCAGTACAATGAATTGTGTTCCACACTGGCTTGACTGATTTTGTTAAAATGGCTATTAAAGTGCAAAGTGCACGCTACAATTTGCATTACTTTTGCAAAATGAGGACAATATTTGAGTCCAGCATATGCATTGACTCTGTATATTGGCCAACATATATTTTATCAGCTGTTTATCTCATCACAGCTACATTGGTATCAGCTGTTGGCTGACAGGTAACAAGAGGGTGCATTTAAGACATGTTTCTTCAAAAGACTCTAGTAAGTTTATTTTTAAGTACATATCTTGGTCACAATTCCTTAACATCCAAATGTAATAAATGTAAACAGCAAATTAATTTTAGTAAATTGTTTTAAGCTGTCAAATATCCAGAATCGGCCAAGCTCTACACAATATTACACGATTCAGTTCCATTTAAAGTCAACTAATTGTCCAGTCTTGCTTAAACACACTTGACAGTGATGAAGAAAATAATTTGTTTACATGACGTAAGTAACTCGGGGTGGTCAGGGGGTTTAGTAAATAAGTTAGATACCTTTTTAGTGTACATGCACAGGTTGGGTGTTCTTCCAGGCACAGGGATTCCAGCTTTTGTCAGTTTGATGAAGTACTTTTGAACCCTACTGGCAACCTGGAATGTTTTAACAGGAAAATGGCTGTGTTAATGATTTCCAACAGAGGAACAGATGCTTGAAGTGATTGAAGTCACACAAATGTATGATCCAGGTACTTGCAGGGGATCCAGTTATCACAAAAGTATGTCTTTACCTTTTAGCACTGCAAAATCTAAACTCTACAGTTGTCAGTTTCCACAGTGAAGACACACAGATCTATCAATGTCAGGACATGCTAATAAAAACACAGACAGTCCAATCAGTTCAAAGACAGCTGATATATTGTTTAGCTGGCAACAACCTCTTTTAGCCAAGTCAGGTTTGTCATCTTGAAGTTTATTGCTTTCCTTCTGGAGAATTCTTTCTGTAAGTCTCATCAGCGAGTTCTCTAATTTGGTGTTGTGGTGTTTTTTTTTTGTTTTTTTTTCAATGTGCAAAAAAAACAAATATTCTGAATTAAGACAGTAGTAAGTGTGGATCAACTAAGCATACATTTTTTCCAGTTACTCTCTTTGTCACCTGTTTTGCTGTGCGATTGCCGAGCTCATCAGCAATCTTCTGCCATCTTCTGGACTCTACTTCCTCTGGTGGAAACTTAACAAGAAGCTGTTCCAGTTTTTTCTATCAAAACACACAAATAAAACCAGCTGAAAACCACGTAGGGACATTTCTTTTCTGCATAACGGATAATATGCAGCATTGGTTTAATGGATCAAATATGCTTTCATCACAAACCAGTGAAACCAGCTATACAACATTCATAAACAGCATATGAAACAGGTGGGTAACCTGTTTATTAAAAAAGGAAATTGTAAATTTAGACTTCATTTCACAAATTGGTAATACTTTTGCAGACTAGAATCTTTTGTATTACAGACAATAATAATAATTTTCATGAAAAATAAAGGTACGTCTGAAAAGAACCTAAAATAATGTTTCAATACTAGTGCCATCAAGAATTTCTGCACACAGTTTGTATTTACTTGGTGACATCATTATGATAAAGTGCAACACTGTGCACACTCGCTGCCTACCTGTTCCTCCACAGTCCACAGCTGGTTAAATGTGTCAGGCTTGTTTGGGTGACAAATCCTCCCTCTGATCATCTGTCAGGAAAACACAGTGACAGCCAAGTTAAAAGACTAAGACGACACAAAAATAATGGGCACTGCAGCATTTGAAGCGATCTGTGCATATTAACTGCCTGGCACACTGAATCCGTCAGTATGACAGGCAAAGATGTGACTTGAGATGTGTCAGTGGGAAAACGCAGAAAAACAGCAACTCTTCTGACTGCCAAACTAAATGCTGTTAGAATTCAGGGTGTGTAATCCCAGAGGATGCAAATGTGCCTGTTTAATATAAAGAGAACAAAAGGAATAATAAAGGAGTTATTTAATCAGCACCAAATTCTTGGGAGAAGACCCACACACATTACAGATACCAAAAATAAAACATAATCAGAGGTGTGGGAGAGGCGGGCTCCTCATGTTTCCATAGATACCATCTTTTGTGCTCACATGTGCTGCATGCTTAACTCTGCCAAGCAGTAACAATGGGGTAGATGTAGATGGAGGAGGCCAGGCAGTGTAAAAGGATAATAACCTAATGATTTGTAAGATCGGTGACTCACCATCTACAGTTAGGATGTACAGATGCAGCTGCATCTACACTTATGATATACTGGGGGACAACAGTGATGACTGCAGCAGAGTGTAAGAGAGTGTGTGTGTGTGTGTGTGTGTGTGTGTGTGTGTGTTGTACAGGTTATTTTAGTTAGTTTAAGTTATACCTGTGTTTGCCTGCCATTCTCCAAGGAGTCACTAGTGGGCAAAGAGGAGTACATGGTGGAGGATTCACCTTCCTTCTTGGGCTCCATGGGACTTTTTGGTCGAGCAGGCAAACCTGAAGGAAGGAAATAAGCACAATTAGTAATAGCAGAAGAATCTCTCTGGAGTTTATTGTGGTAAGAGGTGTGTACACCAAGATAAAGACAAATAAAATGTATACGTGCCTTGGTCGAAGATCAGCTTTAGCCGCCTGGTTTTGCGTTTCTTGTCGCAGAACTCTCTCTCAAAGTCACAGAGGCCTGAGGTGTACTGTTCCCATGCAATGTCAGGAAGCTGGACCACTCGCTGAGGACACGGCATGCCCAAATTCACCTGAAGATTACAAGAAATCCAATAACAAATGAACTATAACTCTACTTTTCAGTCCAGGTAATGCCAAAGAGAATTCATGTTAACATATTACTTTCATTTTTAAAGATTTTTCCAAATAGCTCCCTCAACAGGGAGTGATTCCTATATGTTATTCAAAAAATGGCTGTCCAAACACGTTTTACTAAAGGTTTCATCACATGATTTCACACCCTTGTTTTCTTTTTCTTGAATGCACAATATAATTTCTCTGCATGCTCACGAGTAGAAAACGCCTTTATTTAGCATTTATCATATAGCAGGTGTTCTGTTTGCATTTAGTATTTACATTTACTTGACTGCACAAATTCATTAATTAATTTACACCGAAATTGTATTCAGTAAGCGGTGAAAAATATCTCAAGTAGAAAAGGTGAACAGGGACAGAAAAAAATCTGTCATACAGTGGAAAAGGAGCAATAATTTCACACTGAATTTTACAAGCTCCCAAATATTTATTCAGGCAACATTTCAACCTGCAAGGTATTCCTCAGGCGAAAAACCAAGAACAAGATATTACATGCCATGTCTCAGAGAGGTAAAAGACTACATATTCAGTTATTTGCGCATTTCATACTACTCCTCTGTGTAAGGTGTTTGTTGTACATTTACTTAGATACATTCAGTGGCCCCTTGACACCTGTGCAATCTGATAAAGTTCAATATAACAGCATAACCTGCCATAACATGTATCTTCACAAAGCTCATGTTTAGTTTTGATGACATTATCGGAAATGTGTAAATTCAATGATGTGCATTTTTGTTGAACTCATAGTTAAAGGTGTTGTTGTATTGGACTGCATCACACTGAGAGCTTATGTAAAAGATTTTTTCTTTACCGTTCACATACATGCGGGGAGCAAAATATTAGCCTCTCAGTATAATGCAGTCCACTACCATGACCTCAATGCTTAAACATAATGTAAATAACAACTCTATAACAGTGTCAACAAAAAACTGATTATAGACATAAAAAGTGTTTGGCAGGACAGTTGTATTGGATTGCATTAGACTGTATAGGAGTGCCTTATAAAGTGGACACTACAGTAGGGCTGGACCTGGATCATTGGGTACACATTTGATTTTCAATTTTAGGATTCGAATATTGATCTTTTTTCCTGCACGCCTGACCTCCACTCACAGCAGTGAACTTAATGCTCCAGTTCGCATCAAAGGGAAAACAAAATGAAGCTCTCAGCTCTGTGGGAGCACTTTAAACTGAGTGATGACAATGGCAGTGTGGCAGTTATGGGGTTTATAAGAACATTTAGTAGGCTATAAAAAAAGTTAAAAGCGAATTTTACATAATAACGTGTTGTTACTTTCTGCTACCGGAAACAGCGCTTATCCCATCTGCTCTCCCTGGACCCCTGCCTGGTTAATATATTCCATGATCTGTTCTGGACCTGCTTAACTCACCCTCTGGACTCTCTGCTACGGTTCCCTCCTGCTCTGCACTCACCAACCTGGTTCTGCAGCATCTAGTCTTCCAGTCTGCTTCACTCTTCCCCGGCTCAATTTATCACTACAATAAATATTTCTCTTTTATCTAAATCCAGTCTCCTCCCTCTCTTAGTCCTGCACTTGGGACTACTAGCCTAGCCACGAGAAAAGTTAAACACAACCTTTGGTAATAATAATGTGCTGTTATTATATAGCCTAAATAGAGAAACAAATCTCTCTCTCTCTCTCTCGAACGTTTTGGGCATTCATCCTTCTGCTTAATCTATGAAATACATAGCTGTATCTCGTGAAATTACAGCCTGCTTACAGCTGCCACAGCGCAACGCAACCTGTAACGCCACCAGTAGTCCACCCCCCGCGCAACGCCGTCAAAGATTCGATTACTCGCTGTAATTAGTGTCAACACTTCGAAGATCAAAAACATGACATTTGGGCCTGCCCTACACTATAGTATAGTATAGTTAAAACACAGGTCTGTATGTCTGTTACCCGTTTCTGAAGCTGCTCCACAAAGCTGATGGGATCGGCGAGAGCCTCTCTCTGGTGACGCGCCAACGTCTCCAAGTCCAGGATGGCCTGTGTTCGCTGGGCCTCGAGAACTCCAATGGTCTGCAGCAGCCTCTGATAACTGACATGGATGGAAGCTAAGGTTAGACAACAGTGGGGGGAAGGGACTACTTACATAATTTAACTCGACACTTGCAATGCTGCAGTGAATCAAACTTTTAGACCTCAGACCATGCATAATTCAACCATGGTGCCGAGAGCCTAAAAACATGTACATGGCACAAGCCACTCCCCAATCCTTTCAACCTATTTTGCAAAAAAACATGTTTACAGGCATTCTCATGTGATAGAATTCTTGGCAATGGCTTAAATTTTGCATCTAAAAACCACCTACTTTGGCTAAGACCACCTTTAGCCCATAAAGAACTGCAGCTGATAAATAAAAGTTCAAATGGTATGAGAAAATACACTTCAACAACACAACACCTCCCTGTATCTTATCTTATCTGTAACTCTCAGACCTCAAATTTCATAGTAATATCAGAAGCTTTGCATGACAAACTCTTGCGATTTTGCAGTGCTCAAGGAGCCTTCTGCACTGTAGAAGTCTGACCTTTCCACTCACACCCTCTGGGGCAGCAGGAGAACTGCAAACTGAGCTGTCAGTGACTAAGTGTGTTACTGACTCAGGGGCCTTACAGTGTGAGCAGAGCTGCAGGAATTGACAGGAACGTGACAGCATCCTACGTGGATAAAACCTAATGCAGGTGCTCAGTGAAGCAGAGTGAATCAATCTCCCCTAACAGGACATGAATGAAAATCAATGCACGAGACACAATTAATTCAACAGCTGCCGGTGGTTTAAAAATCCTACAAGCAAAACATTCTGGCGAGCCAACTGTGTTTAACCCCATATCCGTTCATTAGTTACATACGCTGTCCTTTTACACTATGCGAAGCTCTGCTGACCTTGTGCAGAATCACTGAGTAGTACTGTGCTTACAATGTAAACCTGTCGCTGCAGCAGTGGTATAAAAACATACTGCATACTTGCTGTACGACAGACTGATTGAAATGTATGCTCTTTGTAAAAGAAAGCAGGCTGAATTCCTCAGATGAACAGATGATCTGTGCATTAATCTGTTTCAGGGAAATGAGGACGAGTTGGCTCCATTTCTCAGCACTCTGGACTCCCTCCAGGTGTCCAGGGACAAGCCTGGTGTTCCATTGCCACCTACTGGGCCTTAGGTCCACTGACGAACACTAGTGCCAAATGAAAAGTTGGCCAGGACAATAGTATTGCTATGTTAATGCCCGATAGAAGTTTGCTTTTTTAAATATTTACATGACATAAGCAGAGGGAACTGTGTCCAAATAGATACAAGATGTTCTGTATACACAGAATTAGTCATTTCTCCATATTCAGCAACTGTAAAATGCCTAGTCATGTTTCCCTAAAATTACTCTATTGATCTGAGCCTTCAAAAAATCTCCTCACTCAGCACAACCTAAAACTTGGCATGGCACAGAAACTTCATTGTATTACCTTCAAATATGAGAGTATTCTAAAGCCAATCTACAAATTTGAAACATTCACCAATACTGGTGTCAAACACAAAGAGACCTCAGCAGATTTTGTCTCTAAGCTCCTACAGCCCTCTTCCCCTCCTGCTATGAAGATGCATTATGAATCAGCTGACCTGCCACAGTGCAGTTAACAGTGCCCGAATGAGCGCAGCGTGGGACCTGTCCACTAACATCAACATCCCATTTTGCATGACAACTGACAACAGCGACAAAGCTCGACACTGAGAAATCATTTTCCTCTAAAAGAAAAAAAACCCCTCATCTTACAGAGAAAAGAGAGAACAGAGGCAATCAGCAGCGTAACATGAAATCTCTGGGCAACTGGCAGCTAATTCACACAATCACAACACCATATTGAAGTTGGAAATTAAATGCTTTAACATGTAAAACCTGAACAATAAAACAGGAGCTAAATTTGGATGCTCACAGATATTCCCAAAATAACTAAAGAAATAATCTGAAAATAACTGGAGGTAATTAAACATTCCGACTTGGTGAGGGTGTAAACCACCAGAAAAGGCGTATATATAATTTGATGTTTCCTTTTGTTCGTTTTTGGAAGTAAGGGATGAGAGTGTCTGCTAACCAAAAAGGCTAATAATAATATTCCCCTTAATTGTGAGACAATTAACAGAGCAGAACTACTGGGGCCTGCGACCCTGTACACAGCATAAGCGGTTGACGATGGATGGATGGAACTACTGGGATGCTGTATCTCTTCAGTTATTTAAATGAAGCAATCTAAAAGGTTTAGAGTAGAAAACCACACATGAACAAATTCTACCTGTGAAAAGGGGGCACGACAGAGCCAAAAAGATAGGGAACTACTGATGTGGCCTAAATAATCAGCACACAAGCATAGTGGCAAATGTTTTGAACACAATAAGACTGATTCTCCTACGTATTTAAGACAAAACTGACAAATAATTTACATTTATATTTAATCCTCATTAACTCAAATGCATCTCTGGTTCATTCAAAACCAGAGACTAGAAGAAACGCAATGATCACAGAATATAGTGATCAACATGTGCGGGAGCTACATCAACAAAAGATTAGGAGAGCAGAATCCCCAGGGAGCTCCCACATACTCTTTGTTGTGTTTAAGAGCCAGGTGGTCCGACTCAAAGTAATACACGTCTGGCTCCTCCTCCTCTTCCTCCTCCTCCTCCTCCTCCTCCGTAGCCTGGCTCTGTGTCAGCTCTTGGCTTCTCTCTGCCTCTTTGCCCCCCACAGGCCCACCATCCTCACCACCTGCCCCGTCCCCAGGATCCACGGAGACCAGCTCCTCGCAGGAGGGGCCAACAGAGTCTGAGGGAGCAGGTTCCTCCACCACAGGGCACTCCTCCTCCAGCCCAACCACCACCACTTCCCCCTCTTCCCTAAAGGGCCCATTGTCTCTGGGAGGAGAGTTGAGCTTGGAGGAGGCCTTGCCACCGGTGGCAGCCCTCCTGGGTGAAGTCCGTAGGGTGTATCTATGTTCGTAGAGCTCTGTAAAAGAGGGAGGCGTGCTGGATATTGAGGGGTTGCACCCCGGCTCTGTGGGGGAGGGGGTTGTTGCTAGTGGGGGTGTAGTTTCTCCTGAGTTGCTGCTGTTGTTGTTGATTGGACTACTGTTCATGTTGGTGGTAGTGGAGAGGGTGGAGGCAGCAGCTTCCTGCACTGGTGTTAGCGGCCGGCCATTGGTATCGTTCTCAGTCTCTGTCACCTGCTCCTCATGGCCTAGACATAACGGGTCGCCCACTACGTCAACCTCCACCTCCTCCTCCTTGGCCACTATCAACTCAGGGACAGGATCCTCTGGAACAGCCTCAAATGTTGGCGCAGATGAGGCTGGCGATTCCCTTGTGTCAGACACCTCCATCTGCACAGGGACAGAGTTTCTACAAGGCACAACGGGGTCAGGGGATGAGGGAGCCCCTGTCTGACTACCATTGAGCAGCGATGGGCAGTTGGAGGCAGAGGTGGGATTTGCACTAGGCTCTTCAGTGAGTGTACTAGGTTCCTCTGCTTTATTCTCACCGAGTCCATTAGAGGCCTTGTGAGCATTCGGGGGCTGAGCTGCCACATCACACTCCACATGACCGTCCTCTACCTTCCCACCTATCAGCTCACCTTCCTCTTTACTGAAGACAGGTGAGGCAGGAACTGTGTTTACAGCGTTTTGGCTGGGAAATTCTTCACAACTGTTGTCCTTGCTAAGCTCTGCGACGGAGGCTGGACTGTCAGGTTTCAGAGGCACAGGGTCCTCCTCGTGTCCCTGAGTCTCTCCAGAGCGGGAGCACCGTTTGGCCCTTTTGATTTGAGGACAGGCATCCCGCGCCCCTTTCACTCTATCACAGTTGTCAGACTTCTCGGGACAAATGTCTTTTTCTAAACAGGACAAACCCCGCTTCCTAGAGCTGGTCCATGGCTCCGCCTCAGAGGGAGAAACATCCGGGTCAGTTACCTTTCCCTGCAACGGGGCCTGCTGCTGGTCATCCTGCAAAGTGTCCTGCTTTGTATCATGCTTGGCGTCCTGCTTTGTGTCCTGTTTAGCGTCCTGCTTAACATCTTGTTTGGTGTCCTGCTTCGACTCCTGTTTCGATTCCTGCTTGGCGTCATGTCTCGATTCCTGCTTTGCGTCATGTCTCGATTCCTGCTTGCCGTCCTGTTTTGACTCCTGTTTGGCGTCCTGCTTCTTCTTGGGCGAGCGGGCCCGAGTTGGCGGAGACACAGAGGTCTCCTCCGGCTGGGCAATGCTGCGGTTCCTGAGGGTTCGACCACAAAAGTTCTCATCCAATCCATTGAGCCCCACTGACGACCTTGTGACGCGTGAGGAACGAGACGCGGCCATACTATGGCGGGTGCCTACAGTCTCCTCATCCTGGTGCTCTGTCCTCTGCAGCAGAACGTGGGCACCTGCAAAACACACACAGACAGATACATGCACTTCATTAAGTCTAATCATTGCAAACCTTTACAGCCCAATGGTGACACCACAGCACTACCTTTGGAATGGCTAAAAGGTTGATTGCTTTCACTGGCCAGCCAAGCTAAAAATGAATGCAAGAACATTACCCTGGGTTGTTTCAAACAAAAGCGTTCACCAAAAGGCCTTTGTTACATAGTGCTGGGGTCATTTCCCAGCTCACACCAGAGGGGTATTGATTTCTCCTTTCATTGTAGCTAAGCAACACCTTCTGTCCACAGGCAAAACGAGATGACTTATCCCAGGTCTGCACAAACTACAGACCTTCCAGCTACATATATAAAAAGGTGGGAGATCTTATACTGGCAGAAAATAAAACAGGAAACAATAAGGTCAGACGTTCCACCTACCCTAAATGACCAATCACACAATCTCCTTCGACACTTCACAAATGTCACATTGGGGCGCATCTGTATGTGCTTCGCAACTCAAGAGATAAAAGGTGACAACAGCGTAGCAAGCATTTTAAGTAATGAAAAGCCCCCAAAGCAGGAAATCAGATGATTTACAAAAAGGTAGACTACCTGCATTAAAACTAATAAACAAGCCATCATACAGAATGTGTGTGTATGTTTCAGTAGGGCATATTTGTTTCCTCACTGCAGAGACTACTGCTCATTCTGTCACACAAAGACTGTGTGACTTCTGACATAGAAGATACATTGTAATTCTTACACCAAGTTCAGCAGAGATAACACCGCAGACATAGGTTTGTCATCTCACACTGTGGGCTGTTTCTCTCTTTATAACAGGTGTGCCAACACGCTACAGTCCCTCTACAACTTATCCAAAACGTACAAACATTTAAATGCTTCGACAACAAGAATCCTACACAAAGCTTACAGACTTAGGCTGGAGATAAACTTTTTAACCGTGTGTTTGTGAAGACAACCGGCTGTGTCGTGGACTGAACACTTTTCGTGTTACTGGAGGATTCCAATGGAAGCCACACCAGAACGAAGACCATATGTAACTTTTACAGAAGATTTGCATTATGTAAAAAAATAAACATGCCGACACTCAAGGATGTACAAACAATTCAAATGTAACCTAGGTCAAGCAATCCATTATAGTGACTATAATTTCACTCATGGAGACATCTTCACCTTACTCACATTAAGGTAGTTATTGAGGCAACAGAACTTGATAAATAGAGCTGGGTTACTCATTACCATTTATATCCAGCCATCTTATTCTGGTTTCCCTTTATTTTGATTCTGTACATCACATAAATGTCATGGAGTGGAGTGGATACAATACAAGAAAAATGTTGTTTTGGAAAATCAATTTGAAGAACAATAAAGAAGCAAACAAAGATGCTCCATTTTCCAGACAGTAACTCCACAACCAAACAACTAATTTTGAATGACAGGTCTGCAACTGTAAATCTAATCTATTCTAAGTGTTAATCTACATACACTAATTTGTACCATTGTTATCTGTGTGCATTTAAACACACAGTCAATGAAAGTAGGGGGACATTTTGAGGAGAATTAAAAAAGGTCCTGCCCTGGTTATAACACATGCATTCATTACCTAATTCCTGTGAAAATTCCCAATCAAAACACACATCCATAAACACACAACTTGCCACTTAAGTATCCCCTAGATGATAGTGCCAAATAATAAATCTAACAACAGATGGCAATAAAATTGAGACATGGTAAAGGTCATATTAAAGTGACATTCAGGGGGAGATGATCTCACGTGGTGTCCTTTTGCAGGAGATGACACAGTCAGTTTCTCTCATAGGAGAGATATTATTGCGCCAATTAGCATTTTGGACATGGTGCTCATTTACATTAATTTCAAGTACATCAATCTGTGGGCCGACCTCTCTCAGAAGTGATTTAAAAGCTCTTTGTTGCCTTTCTTAGAACAATGCCTCCCTTTTCCTACACTGTACTCACACAGCAACATCAAAGCCAAAGGCTACCGTGGCTACAAATACATTTTGATAATATTTATTCAGGGAGCTAACAAAATAGTCACCTGGACAAGCACTACCACATGCGCATATTACTCACACGCCGCCTAAGACTCCAGCTGAGGAAGCTAATGTGATTTGCCCATGCGTAAAATAAGAGAGAACAAGAAGGAAACACAGAAAAGGGCAAGCAGGGGGCAGGTTATTCAGACAGAACGCACACCCTTAGACACAAATCGACAAAACTAATTAAGGCTGTTCATCTGACCTGCTCTCCAAAACTAGAAAACTGATCACTTCTTCAAAATGATCATGATTACAGTTTAGCTGTATAAAAATATAAAAGAACTTTATTTTTGAGGGCCAATCAATAACAAACTCCTTAATTGACAGGGGTATCCTTGGTACATGTAGTGTATCAGCTTCAAATCATGAGTCACAAAATTGTTCCCCCAAAGAAACAAAAGAAGCAATTTCTATTACACAAAACTATGTTGATCTTTTTTCTTGTGATAAACTGGATACTTTCATCTCATCAGTCCCCTAAAAGTGCTTCAAGTTGTAAAAATCTGCTAACAATAAACCATTCTTAATTGCTAATAACTCGCCAACACTACCGCCATAATGTCTGATGGGGGGGGGGCGCAAGTACACATTGCTTTGTTTTATGGGGTCAAAAGCCAAAAGGGTAGGGAACCACTGTGTTAGACCACAGACCAGCATTTGATTTGTGTTTGCACTCTACTGTTAGTGGATATGAAAGTGGACAGTGCTATCATCAGCCTGAAATGTCATATTTTGGGGATATATTTTGTGGCATATATAAACATTTGACCTTCATTACTTATACTAAATAAAATACAACAGAGATTAAACTATTCCTGGCCACTGTAACTTTTACTGTCCTGTTTTCTTTTTCTTTGTTTCTATTTAACTTTTTTATATTTCCCTGTTGCTTTTATGTTTTATGTAAAGCACTTTGAATTACCTTGTTGTTGAAATGTGCTATACAAATAAACTTGCCTTGCCTTTTTGAGGAACATCTCAGCACACCAGTCCCACAGGTACTAATTTATCATTTTGCAATAGCAGGGTTTGAACTAGTCCATTACCAGTCTTACCACAATGTACTGCCATGTGTAGTCCTGATTCTGACAAGGTTGGAAATAACCATTTTAATTTATTTTATTATTTGTCCCAAGTGGGAAATTTTATGCTTACGGGCAGCCATGTCAAAGACAGAATATGTTATTTGTCAGTGCGGCTACCTAGAGAGGACCCATGTGTGAATGTAATTCTCAATCAAGCCACTTCCTGTTCTTCACTATAGCGCGTGTTTAGTTGTGAAGTTATGGTAACACGTGCTAATTACATTATAATTATAATGACAGACCAGGACTGACTGGTGGGTCATTTGCCATAATAAGCAAAACAGTGGGTCCAGTGAGATTTTAAAGCTGTAAACTCCAGCTATCCATAAATAAACACACACCCTAGAAGCTAAGTTAAGAGTGAAGGCTAGGTTATTGTTGGCAGACCAGCTAAGCTAATGTCCGTAACGTTAACTGAGTTTTGGGGAAGACTTCTGTTTTATTGATAAATAAACTCGGTGCAGTTCATATCTGTTGTTAACATGTAGTTCAACACTTCCACAAGGCCTACTAGCAACAAAATAAAAATCCACGGAGTGCTGTTGGTATACATACCGATGAGAATCGTTCAAATCCCAACATCCCAGCTAGTCAGCTGCCGCGAGCTCAGTATCGATAAACTCAGACTCTGTTAAACTGGCGAGACTAGACAACGTTGCAGCGGCACGTGCCGCCGGCTAAGCTAACACTTGTTTGCAGCAGTTGAACTCTACAAAGTTCAGGATTAAACCTCACGTTTGTGTACATCAGCTCTTGTTTCATGGAGCTGCCGAGCAAGCTAACCGTTAGCATGGACCAACTTCCAAGCAAACGTTACTTGACCTAGCTTGCTGTTTAGCGGGCTAACCTTAGCAAACTAAGTTAGCGTTAGCTCTCGGGCTAAATTTAAAACATTAACACTTGAGACACCAACCTGCAGACTGTTGCACCCATGAAATTCAAATTTTATCGCTTCCTATGACATCCAAGCGAACAAGTACATTAAGTTACAATCTACACAAGCCAATTTTCCCTTTTCCCCTTAGGAACGACTAGTTAGCCAAGTTGGCTAACATTACCGTCGCTAGTTCTCCTGTTAACTGCATCGTGCAGAAAAGAATCGTGGCGACTCTAAATGTAGCCCCCTGTACTTGTGTTAGCTTACTAACATCGGGTGCATGCTAGCTGAACTTGCTCGACAACTGATACAGACAACAATATATATACTGAATGAGGGATTCGTTACTAACATTGTGTGTCTCCGAGGTTTACATTTCAGCTGCAGAGCACAGATACAAGCGCCGCGCTTAGCAACCCAGCAGTTTAATTGTAGTTAGTAACCACTTAGCAGCCCCGGCTAGCCGCAGCAGCCCAACATTAGCTAGCCAAGCTAGCTGATTGTTCCGCGCATAACTTTGGCGATGTATTTGTGTACTTCCAACAATGCCGGTCATAGACATTTTTGGTGGGCTAACAAATTCAGTTTTTGTCATTTGCTACACTACAAGCAGCGGACTGGACGTACACTTCTAAATAGCGTTTATAGCTCAAGAATTACACATACCTCACTTCCGTAAATTTGCTGCACGTTCGGCCGCAGCCATGTTTTCAATCCAGTCAACTAGTCGGGGTGTGTGAGCCGTTTCAACCGCGCTCGCCAAAATGCAACACTATACTGTACATTTTTGCCCCTGCCAAGAGTGCAGTCGGCCACACACCCTTCGGGTCACCTCGCTTAATTGATGACTGTTTTAATACCTTTTTTGTGATGGACAGTAGACACAGCATAGTTGACTTTTCTTGTCTAATTTACTCCTCGTTTCTCATCTAACCACTCCACTTCTCATAAATCAGCAAAGGATGGCAAAATCA